TAAATCTTTTTTTTTTTTTTTTTTTTTTAATGCCCATTGGGCAGGTTTTAATCTAGCTAGTTTATATTTTAACTGAACTAGTTAATTTTTAGCTCTAGCAAGTACAACACACAAAACCCCAGCATGAAACATCATCATCCTGGAAAAACAAATACAGATTTAAAACACAGGAGAGCTTAAAAATAATAATAATATTTACTGCAGCCCATCAACTGCAATTACATATTTTTGATGTTAATAAGCTACAACCACAGCAACTGTAACACACTAATTCCTTAAAAGTCAATGAAAGAACCAAGTTGTAAGAAACATTAACCTGGTAATGGCTGGCTGAAAATTGCACTATGCTGAGGATTCAGTGATGGATAACGCTATTGTTTCTACACTAAAATGCATTTTTAAAGGAAACAAAATAAAAGCCAATAAAATTTGTATTTCATCTATGAAATTCTACCATCTTAATTGTGCAAAAATGGATTTTTTCTTCAAATAATTTGTACATAGCGTGAAGTGTTTACCCTTTAATAACCAGAATATTATTTAATCATTTTATAGAACCTGTACACAATTATAAACAATTTGTTCTGCAATATTTACTTTGATTTTTATTCTGTGCACCTGTGAAATGTCCCAGTTTTGTTCATTAAAAATAAGCTAAAAGATCAGTTAGCAACGCTGAAAAGTAATATTTTTTCCTCAGCTATTTTGGAACTGAGCAATTATCAAACACAGCACAGATCAGTTTTAAATGATAAAAAAATCTTACAAAGATAATCAGCAATTCCCATCCTTGCAGGAATCTTCACATTCACAGAAATGTCAATATTTATTTTATTTTATTTTATTTTATGAGGGTAAACAGAAAACAAATAAAAATATGTCTTCAAAAAGACCAGTAACATTTAGTCAGGCATTATTTGTAAAGCTGAGTGGACAAGATATGCACACCACGTTAATATAAAAATGTTTCGTTTAGTTTATCGTGGAAATATCTGTGATAGGAATCTATGCTTTTTTTTTAATCTAAGGCATCATTATTATCCTGACAGATAAAACAAAAAAATAAAATGAACCTTAATGAGATACAAAGAAATCAGATGTTAAATCCTTAGCTGTTGCAAATTGATTTAGTCTAATAAAATGAGCAAAGCTACACCAGTTCACCGAAGTAAAAATGTAGGCTAAAAATATACTTTAAAAATTATAGATCGCACTGTGTAAACCTGATAGTCAGAATTCTACCATTAGAAAGTATGGAGATGGAGAAGAATTTAGGAAGATTAAAAAAACAAACCAAGCCAAACCCAGTTCTGGATGACACGTGAGTATTCCATGGGAAAAAGGTCACTGACCCTAATTTTAATAGAAAAAATATTTTAGAAAGCTTGAATCTCATGCTCAGGGGTAGGTTTGCTGGAGATTTCTTTGCTTCTGTCAGTATGAAATTTGGGCCCATGGAAAATAATATCAAGTTACCAAGAGTTTCTTTAATGATTAAAAAAGCTTGTTTTTATGAGATGTTACTTCCTTGTATGTAACATTATTGCAAAATAATGGTGGGATTCAAAAGAAGTCTGTGTTCATATTAGAAATAAACGGCACTTTGGGAAAATACAAACATGCACAGTAAAAAGAAAAAAAGCTTCTGCAAGAGACAAATAATTTTTTCTTTCATAAATGAAACGAGAATTAGGTTTCCAGTTTCCATACTTTCTTGCTTCTAAGAAAATCCAGCCGGTGTTTATTTAAATAGCTATAATTGACCATTCTCTGGAAATATTAAGTCACGGTTATATCACACTATTTCTGTTTCTGCGCAAAAGGTTCAGGGCTTTTATACCAGAAATGGAACACAACACTACCTTCGGGGATTTTAATAAATGTAGAGAACACTGCTAGCAAAAGAGTTGCTGTCCAAATAGACTGACATACACAGGCCAATGTAGCCTCTAATGACAGAGTAAGATAATGACAGGCCCCACTCAAAATCAGCAGGGACAGGAAGAGGAAGATCAATCTTGGCAGAGTGAAGGAAAAATGCTGGCTTTCTTCATGTTAGCTCATCTCATACATATCTATCTTCAGCTGCTGCCCAGTACTGTGGTGCTCTGCATTAACTACACAGTGGATCAATAACAATTACACCTTCTCAAAAACATGACACATAGCAGGATTGGGTTGACATTTCACTTAGGCCAACATTGATCTCAGTGCATCTGATTCCAGTCCTAAATTCAAGTCAGGCCTGGGTCTAGCTGGAATAAACACACAGTTAAAAACAAAAAAGGAAACCAGCTGCTTGTGCCTTGGCTCAGAAGTAAACAGCACATCCATCTGTGCATCTCCCATCTCCAATCCACTATTCTTCCTGTTGCTACTAGTGATTCTAAAGTTGATCAAAGAGTATTTTTTGTATGAATTACTCACCGTGACATCAATGTTGATAATATCTCCATCCTGAAGAGGTCGACTGAAACATAAACAGCAAAAAAAAAATAAAAAATGGTGACAGACAGTTCCCAACAAAGGGAATATAAGAATAAACACCTAATGACACATACATAAAAAATCAGGGGGTAGATATTTTGTGATGGAGGAAGGCAGAAGCAAACAGAATATCCATTTTTAATGTTCAGCTCTCACTACTTAGAGAACAAGTGTAGCTGAATATAAAATAATGAGAAACAACTACCAGAAAGAATATATCAATACCTGAAAAATCTACCATTATATTTATTCTTTTTCTCTCACTAGGGTTCATATTTTACTTTGTGAGTAGCTGAATGTATTGCAAATAAAAAAAAAAACCAACCATAAATTCAAATATATTTATTCCTTACCCTATATTTATTTTGTTGGAGGAAAAAAAAAAAATCGGACTGTACTGTTTTTTTTTTCCACACACTAAACTCTAAAGGCATTATGCTATTTTTTTTAAGTTTCCGGACAAACAGGATATTTATTTTGCATACATTTCTATAACATCTATCAGCATCATGTGGTAACACGCTATGCATCTGCAATACGTTTACCTATGACATTTAGTTAAGCTGAAGTATGTTCAATATTAAACACAATTTATTAATTTCAGTTTAACATTTTCATTCCTGGTGGTAAAATGTATATTATTGGGGAAATACCTGTCAGGAATACCATGACATACCACGTTGTTTACAGAAGTACAAACAGATTTTGGAAAACCTCCATAGCCCAGAGGTGACGGATAGGCATTCTGTCTGATTATTTCATGATGAACAATGGAATCTATTTCTTCAGTTGTCATGCCAACCTAAAATATCAAACATAACATCCTGTTAAAAAAGCAAAGATAGTTTCTCATACTTACTGAATGTGATTGCAGCCAAGCGTTTCAATGAAATCTTGGATGTTTCAAGTACGCTGCTTTGATACAAAACACTAAACTGTCTGATATACTTTATTGATATATTAGACCTTTTTTTTTTTTGAAGAGAAAAAGGTTTTAAATAAAGCATGCAGTAGAAACGAGCACTCAAAGGTTCCTAGAAAACCTAAAAATACTGCCTACTTCCTTTTCGTTCTTTTTTCCACATTTGCTTTCTCAAAGACACCAATTTTCCATGGCATCTTGTTTCAGTAGCTGCTATAGAAATGTCTGGTTTCAATGCTTTCAGTCCTTTAAAACACATTATTTTCCCTTTTTATTTGTAAAATAAAGGATCTTAATTCTTGTAACTGCCCAGTACATTTATCATAATGTACTTGTGCATTTTATGGAATTGTTGTCCGAGTATTCTCTAATTTTATAAAATATTTAAATATTTGGCTTCATATCCTGAGGATCTTTTAAAGTTGACATAGCCTGGATGATCACAGTGAATCTACAAGCGCTTATCTATAATTTTTAGAAATCTTCATTTTTATGCTTGACAGTTTCTAGATTCATCTTTTTCTCACGATTTTACATATTAAAAAAACTCTCATAAATCATTCAGCCATTTTCTGAGTATCCATGGAGTGGAAAATGCACACGCTTAAAATAATATTCTTCTTGCTTTTCTTTTGGATAGACTCTGTCTCTGGAATGGTTAGAGCTGAAATTTGAAATGTGGTAGGGAAACCTCCCTCATTGAGAAGAAGTGCCTTTGAGGGTTCCTCTGCAAATTGATTTTGATTTGAATGAGTTTTGAGCCTTTGAAAATCATACTTCGTACACATACACTACAGTAGCTGTGATTTTGGAGGACTTTTTAGTAACACGTGGAATACAGGTAGGCTGTGGTGCAGGAGGCATACTTATCCATATATTGAAATATTCCGTGCTCACACACAGCGAATACAGCGGAGTGCACTTGTGTACTGTGCTGAGGATAAAACCAGGTCTATTTGCTCAGCTTGCATCTTGTTCAGCATGAAAACGTGGTTGGGCAGACCGGGAGTGATGAACCCACTCAAGACCAGGATTTGGGGTTACTGTGCAACCCCCTTGCTTTGCAGTAGCCATTGCAGCCTCTGCGCTGGGATAGCAGCCGCAGCCCCAGCGCGCTGTCTGTATTGGATTTCTCCAGCCACTGGTTCTGGATAAATACAGGTTTGTTGCTCCTGCCTTTGCTAACCCATCTATCATCTTCAGCCCATAGACAAGCTGAACTGCTATGTACCAGATCGGGTGCTGTCTGCCGCTGCTCTGGTCAAGGAATTTGATGTGGCTTTTGGATGCTCAGCAGACAGATCTGTGCTCTCTGCATGGCAGGCTTACATGCTGTGAAAAGTTCTGCTTTTAACAGTAACTGCTTTACTTTTAAAGGAGCTTTTGCTAGCTAGGCAATGTTGGGGAAGCACCTACTGTGCACCTCATCCCTTATTTGGGACGGGGCAATCTGATGGTATCTTACAAAATACTTCCATGTCATAGAATTATCTGCTTTATTCCCAAATCTTTAACTCAAACCCAGGAAATGCTATCATATATAATACCATCTTGTATTTTTAAGTCCCACAGGCAGTAAATGGTAATATCAAAACCATGCTCAGCCCAAACTTTGTCTCTCTGCATCCATGCATTATAACGCACCTTTGTTATACTGGGGATGTTATGGCCATTAAGTAAAGCACAGGCAAGAGCTGGTTTGGAGGGCTGTGCGCAAGGCGGGTTCAGCAAGACAACAGGAACGTGTGGAGGGATGGGGCTCTTCAGATAAAATAGGGATGCAGAGTTTACCTTATGAGAATAGCCTGAAAGAGCTCGGTTTGTTTAGTGTGGTGCACTGAAAGCTGTAATAGCTCTATTACTGCGTGAAGAGGACAGACTTAAGGAAAGGCAGGAAGCTGTTTAAATTAAAGAGCAGTGTTGGCACAAGAACAAATGGGTATAAACTGGCCACGCGCAGCATCAGGCTGGAAAGCAGAAGATGCTCCCTGTCGATGAGGGAGGGTTTTGGAGCATCCTCCCAGTCAGAGGAGTCTTGGCCAAACACTTACTGGTGTAAAACGGAGCTTACCACCTGTCTGCAGCTGACCTGGGCAGCGGTGTCGGCACCACAACTCCAAGTGCCACCTCCCTCCCAATCCACAGCTCCTGGTCACATAAGTCTTACCCTATACACCTTCTTGCTCCAAAACGTTCATTACTTGTATGTAATATTTTGCTATTATTTGGCACATACTATGAACTACATCATAAGCTACACCATGCTGCATATATATATATATATTTTACACATGATAACAACGGAAGAGTATTAGTGAAAAACTGCTCTCATTCAAAACCCACATTGCACCCTGATCCTTCAGAAATATGTATATGCCCTTAACTTTACATGAGTAAGTTTTACTGTACTGGGAAATAATTGCACATAAAGAAGTTAAAAATGCACGAGCATATGTAAGATTTAAAGCTTCAGTCAGCTTTGTTATTGGCCACCCCAGCTCCAGAATTAAACCTCTGGGAAAGTGTGATGATAGCTGAAAGAAAAATGCACAGTAAACTGATAATTTTTTCCCATTTTAAGTCAATGACATTGGCCTACAGTCCTCATCTATCTCTGCATTGCATAGCTACTCAACCCATTTTATCCTATCCAGTATGCTATTACATGAAATGTCAAGGCAAGGCTAAAAAAGCACTCCTTCATCTGCAAAACCTGGTCATAGGCTCCTCCCAGTACATTTTAACTTGGGAGGTATCCCAAAAAGCATACTGTAGAAACATTACTGGAAACCATGAGGCTTTATTGTCAATGCACTCTGGAAAATTGTGTGGAATTTGGCAGCTGTTTTTTCCAACAGCAGCTCTACGAGTCGCGACAGACCCCACGGGACAGAGAGATGGACGGGAACAGAGGAGGCAGCCCAGGCCTTCGGACCTGCACACATGCAGAGCCAGAAAGCACGACTTACGAGGAAGATGGGCCATGAAATGAAAGGAAAAAATATAGCACGGGCCTTATGAGAAACTCATATGATTTGGCACAATCCCAACAGGGGGAGACTACAGACAGAGAGATATTACACCTGAGGCAGCAACTCACTCTAAGTACTACATAGGTCCAAAATACAGAAATAATTAAACAGGCATAACATGGACTGAATAAATAGTTAATAAATCCTTCTTTTTTTCAGTATCTAACATAAAGTTGGATGCACATTAAGGGAAAGTGAAGGGAAAAAAAAAGGTAGAAAGAATACCAAATAAGTGAAAGCATAAAAGACATCCAAGCTGTTATGGGACTTCTGTAATTGTTACCTTTAAGCCCTTTCCAGCCAGAAGCAGGACATGACGGGCCAATTGACAAGCTTGACGAAGCCCTTGAATCTGATCTTCATTCTTAATTTCTATGTCGTCTCCCCAGTCTGGTACAATGCCTGTCGTCACGTAGTCTGGCTTCTTTATGTGCTTGGAGAAAAAGGATTGAAAATGAAGATCAGAAAACTGAGCATGACAATGGGATCATTTTCTCAGATACTGCCTCCTGCTTCATGGCAGCTTGCCCTTTCTGTCGTAGTATCGACCTTCCTAAGCCATCAGGGCAAACCCTCAAGGCTGCCTCAGTATTTCTTCCACTGCCCTTTTGAACTTAACATTGCCTGTTACTACTGACTTACACAGTCTGTTAACCTTCCAGTGCTGAAACACCAGATACTGCAGCTGATTTCCAGCACAGACAGTCGCAAGTTTTAAAACTGTGAGAAAGAGACTTAAAAACTTTTTATTTTTTTCTGCAAAGAGGCACATTTTCTACAAAAGGCATCTAAACACTGGAACTGGTGGGACAAACATACAGAATTAGGCTCAAAAATAAAACCGATTAAATCCTTATTTTCTCATCCAGACAAAACTCCTATTAACTTCCATGAGATTGCTTTTTGACCAAGAACCTTAGGATCTAACTTATTTTAATTTAGAGGTTTTTACTTATTAATCTAGTTCATGTGTTGTGCCCAAATTTGTCCATCTACAACACTATGCACGGGCATTCCAATTTGCTGTGTCAAGGAAAGCGTAATAAACTTCATTTTTTGCACACATAAAGTTCTCAGCCCTCATATAGAGGTGAAATTTCTGTATTTTTTAAAACCAGAACAATTTCATGACACATGTCTAAACACAACAAACTAATAATAACGATAACATCTTGCACAGAGATGGAAATGCACTTTCTCTCGGAGGGTCATGAGCTGTTTCACTGGCTGGAGAAGAGCCCACCACAGCCAGGCTGATTCTCTGCCATGCCGGCCTCAGGAGGAGTTTTGCACTAACTTCACAAAATACAGAATCAAGCTGGTGGGTATAAAACAAAGTGGGCACTTGGGCTGTACACAGCAAGACCACTCAACAGCAGGGTGTAGGAGTAAAGAAGAGTGGGGCAACCAATTAGCTCTAGCGGGACTTTAAATAGAAAGACTATTGTTATAGTCTTTGGGTATTTCATTTCTACTCTGATAAAAAGTGAAACTATCTTTTAGTGGACTTACGTCAACAGAATTTCAGATTTACATTTCATTCAAATTAATGGCGTATCAACCCTAACAACATCCTACTGCAGTAGTTTGGGACTTAATTTAGAAAAAAAACCCCACCATTTGCTGGATTAGCAACTCCATACACAGCAGCACCCTTGCTTTCCCCTTGGAGGGCGCTTACCTAGTAACTGCTAAGACCTGACCCTGCTGACCTGTTAGATCTGTTAACAGAGAAGCCCAAAGCAGCATACATACAGATGTCTATGCATACAGTTTCACAACAACATCTTGAGAAAACCCATGTTATTTCAATGTGATTTCTGGCATACTCTGTATAAAGTAATAACTTTGCCCTCAAGTTTTCAGAGTTGAAGAACTGGACTGATTTTTAGACAGTCTGAGAACTTTGATCTGTGAAGACAACTTTTCAGTATCACAATATATTTCTCCCTCTTTATGCTAAAAGAAGCATCTACATACAGAAAAAAAAGTTTGTAAGTTCTACAATTTTTAAACCTTTGAAAATATATAAAGCATGTAACCCTATGGTCTCCCTTACACACAGAGCTTCCACAGCCTCTTAGGTGTAAGAGCTCTACATCCAGCATCTGTATCTGCTTTCCTATTTAACAGCTTTTTAGTATTTCTGGCCCATGGAAATACTCCATATTCTGCATAAGAAATCTACAATCAAATTAAAAGTAAAACTCAAAAAAGTACTAATACACATCCTGAAAAGCACTGTTTAGAAAGGGTACTTTTGTTTTCTTTTGGCTAAAGGAACGATACTAAACAGTTAATTTGTATGCTGTAATTAAATGGAAAAAAAAAGACAAGAAAAAGAAGGAAAAAAAAAGGGGGAAAAGAAAAAAGGAAACCAGAAGTGGAACACATGTTAAAATTGCATGAAAAAGTTCCTTTTGGCTCTAAAGTAAATAAAAATAAAAGTACATGTTGCAAAAAAAAAAACACTCAGGGACAGTAAAGACGAGTTTAGAATGTGCAGTGGGGTTGCAGGGCAGCTACCAGCAGATATTGTATGTTCTGTTCTTAAATCTGACATAACCAATTAACAAAACCTTCAGCAAAATGTAAACATTTTTATAATTAGCTTGCTAGAGATTTATACAGAAACGGACTCAGACGATCATGAATGATTCCTACTGACTTTTGGTAGGACTGTCTATAATTGCCCAAAACGCGAATCTGGACCCAGAAGTGTTAAGTGTTGACAGATGATTATAATATTCCACATTTATACTACCATAACTGAACAAGCCCCAGATTTAAACTCCCTAATAACTAGATACGCCACTGTGTTTAACATGGTAGGCAGCTGAAAACTTCTCTCACCAGTGCTCCTATTTCAAATACAAGACCAAGCAACAGGACGGTGATCCAAACCCCCAGCTGTCGGACAACGAATACGCTTGATCACACCTGCAGTTGAACTCTATACTGACTGAAGAAGAGATTAGGTAATAGAAATTGCAGTACCTTAGGAACCGAGTGAGCTGGAGAAACCGTGGCTGGCCAAACTATACTATAAGCAGTATTTCTTCGTCCCTGAAAAAAGAAGCATCTTCGCTGTTGGTCGCTTGACTGCCTGTGCAGGTAGATACAATTGCACGAAGAAAAGATTACGTGGCAGCCAGTCACAGAACCTGTTAAGAGATAAGTTAAAAATGGTTAACATTTTTTTCTACTACCACATCACAAAATGGAAAGTATGCAAAAAGAAGGGCATCATGTAAAACAAACCACAGAACTCATGTAGTAGCCAAGGGTAGTTCAAATTGTTCAAATCTTGTACCGTGAAAGAAAGAGCATCAACACCAAGAAGCAATGAGAACAAAAACCCTCCCTAAACAATACTTCGAAGCTGTATAAAATACCAGATCTATTTTGATTTGATGCATTAAAAAGTAGCGTGGGTGAATTCCCCAAAGCTTAGAGCCAGGAGTGACGCTCCAACTGGCCCCTGCTTGTAGCCATTTGCACGGCTAGAAGCTGCACTGTTAAAGGCTTGGGGAAACGGCAAATAAGGGAAAACAGCAAGAAAGGAGGAGAGAAAAAAATGATTTAATGTTGATTTCAGACAATATTTTCACCTGTATTTTTGCAGAATTGGTCACAGATTTGAGCATAATCAAGTTAATGCTGCTCTCGTCATTTGCACCAAGACACAAGGAACGGGGTTTAGTTTGTCCTGCCTAGAAGGGCAACAGAACAAACTTCAAGAGATATTTTTAATCTTGGCCAAAGGCAATTGAAGGGATTAAAATTTGTAATTGACTTGGAATATTCGAATCAGATTTCCATTTAATTCACATGGGAATTAGGAATGACAGTTCATCAGAGTATTCATTGCTCAAACTTAGTTGTTGGGCAATGACACATTTTGCTCCCCTCAAAAAAGGAAAAAAAAAAAAAAAAAAAAAAAAAAAAAAAAAAAAAAGGGGGAAAAAAGGGCATTGATGCTCAAAGGTTGTCAGAGACATCAAAACCAAAATAATACATCACAAAAGACAATGCTAGCATCAAAAATGAGAAATATGCTGAATTCAAAAGGATTATTGACACTGCCCAATTAAACTACAATTACACGTAGTGCATATTTCCATTACTCAAACATTCTACAATCTAAACAGAGGGGTTTTTTGAAACATAAGTTTCACATAATAGTTAATCCACTTCTGAAAAATGTCATACGTATACAAACACAAGAGCAATCTTTTGTGACAAGTAACCCATACAAATAACTATTCTTTAGTAAAAATAAAGTATTTTTGTTTAAATAGAAGTAACTAAACATTTTTGTACCACAGAAATTAAGAAATTAGTCTACTGCATATTTTGTAACTATGTAAAAATGATTTTCTTTTTTTCTACATGAAGAGTTTCTTCCATATCTTGTATGTTTTTATTGTACCTTTCTTCCTTTCCTTTGGATGCATTTATCATGTCCAGATGCAGAAATTATCCTTCCACATACACACTTGGCTTCATAGACAGCCCTTTTACATCATTCCATGGTATACAGGAGATTCGAGTTATGCCCCTTTTTTGGAGCCCCAAAACCCAGAATGAATGAAATAGTTGCATGGGGTTTGCTTTAGAAATGTTCCTGACTGTCTCTTTGCACACTGATCAGTGCTACGGTTAGTTACCAATATTTGAATTTGTTTAACACTTGAAAGGTTGTAGAGACTTTTACTCAATGCAAGCAATTTTTTTCCATTTTTTTAAATTGTTTATAAGTAATAAGGCAGGGTTGGAGAGTGAGGCTCAGATCAAGCTCTCAGTATAACCTAGGTACCCCAATGGAAGTTGCCTACTTCAAGTGTCTCCATGGAAGTGGAGCTGCCCAGTCAACAGAGGGTGGATTGGCTTGGTGGTGTTTTAAATAATTTAATCAACAACCTCATCATCTACTGCTTTCCTAGGGTCTCCTTCACAAGAAAAAAATCACTGTCCAATTAAAAAAAAATAAATCTGGGCCATCTGACCTGTACAACATATAAGCGCATCCAAAGAGCCCAAAGCATCCTGAACTCCCTGGGCAGTTCGCACCCGTTTCTGGAAGCTGGAAGCACAGAATCTGCTGAGGCAGCAACTTTTGGGCCATCAGAAGTAGCAAACAGTCCACCAGCATAAGCTAAAGTAGCTCTTTTACAGGGTGCAGTGGAAGTACCTTGCTCTTACCGCAGCTGAAGGTATTGTAAGCATATTGAAAACCCACACTCACTGATGTCGTCAGTTAAAGTCCACGTGGATATCAATATGCGCACGTGTATTTCAAATGCTCTCCTTGACGCACGACATGCTGCCCGGGCACCTAGTCTACTGTGTAAAAGTTTAATCGGGGAAGAAAAGGTGCAAGTGTGCTTGTCAGTTATTCAACAATAAAACTCCAAATGTCCCAAATACACACTCTTAAATACGTTAAGCCAGTTTATATTCATGGGTGCATGCCTATTGACTATCCCACACTCAGAAGGGATACCTTTTTATTTGGAATAAATTTTTTACCTCTACTCTCCCAAAGATACACTGTAAGTGTTGTCACAAGATAACAGGATAATAAGGTACTGTAGTCTGTTGTTACTCTACTAACTACTCATTATAAACCAGACTCATACAAAAATATCTACTACTTGAACAGGTGAAATGCGACAACCAAATAAATATCACCATAGTATAATACGACTTCTAAAATACATCGCAAGAATTATAAACACAGGACAACTAAACCTTTATTTGGAATATAAAAAATTATAACAGAAAACATTCTCCTACAAAGTAAAAATAAAATTAAATAAAATGGCATTAAAATATAATGAAGTTACTGTTTTATAATGAAAATCTGGACTCCATCCACACACTTCCTTCCTTAAGAAGGGCTTCCTAATGTCTCCACAGCTGCTTTTATTTTTTAAGCTCCCATATTCACAGCTAATTCGATATAGCAACATCATCAATCACTGGAGACAGGAACAACTGGCTGTATTCTCCAAGCCTGGCTCAGATATTCCCTCCTCCCCATCCCTTACACCTCTCAAAGCTTTTCTCAGTGCCTTATTTACTTCTGCAACACTGGCACTCAAGCACATCCTTTTTGTTAAGCTTTCTGTGTATATTAATTACTGTAAGATAGTTCATAAACGCGGGATTTGTGCAGCTGCCAGTGGAAACTGCAGCCATCGGAGTAAGCCCAGCGTTGGAAGCCGGGTAGCTGGTAACACGCCAGCACAACGCGGATGCAAAGTTGACCCTTTACGTGTTTCTTCTCTCCCCCAACAGCAAGGCTACGTCACTTGCCACGAGTAACAGAATATTTACGATCAGCTGCAATAAGGAGAATTATTACCAGTGTTACTGAATCACATCAGCAGATACGATGTACCGAGCACAGAAAATTACAGACAACTGCTCCTCTGGCTCACCAGTGAATCACACTGTGCAATCTGTATGCACGCATGTCCTGCCGGAGCCGCTGGATTCCTCTGCATACCTTCCAGACCTTCATTTGTATTAATAATATAAATATGCACTGTGAGCTTTTGTGAATTACCAGATGAATTTATCTTGTGTGGAAATTACATTTTCTTTTTCTTTTAAACGAGTCAGCCAAAGGGGCTGAATACAGAATTCAAGTATGATGACGGGTGGGAGCATTTTAAGTGACTGATTTTGCAGCACAATGTGCCCTATATTTATTAGCCTTTTACTCTAGGTCTATTTTAATTGTTATCTGTTCACGCATAATACACTATATAATGAAATGCTCCCATTTCACTCACAGAGCAGAGAGTTTTTTATGTGTATCTCTATTAATGACCCTTAATTAAGTTGATTTTAGTCATTTAAATGTGATTTTCCTCTGGTCAAGAAGTATTTTTAGAGGGAGATGTGGGAAATTAACTCTCACATAAGCCCCTTTCTAATGCTGCTTCTTTAACAGTTACAGCAATTTATCAGCTATGTTTTCAATGAATGAGGTGTGGGGTAGCCATGCAAAAAACTGCTCACCTACATGATTTATCAAATGTGACTGTTAGCAACCATTTTTTTGCTATTTATTTATGAAAGACTCCAAATGTCCCAGCAATTAGCAAAAATGTTGCTAAAGGATAAACTTCATGACAGTTCTAAGCTACAATAAATACAAGGGTACGTCTTAAAAGAGCCAAGAAATAAATTTAACATATTTAGAATAATTTAGTCATAGTATCAACAGAAGCACAGTACCAAAATTATTTAGGATTACAAGAATTAACATCCAACTGATTTAGGAAATAAAATCAACTTGCTTATGATAAAGTAAATCTTAATATAATATGAACAATTAACAACATCAAAAGCATTGTTCAGAGAAGTAATTTTTAAATATGTGATTTAAAAAAAAAATTAAAAGAATAATGACCATGGAGATTTTCCTAGTATATATGCATTTGAGGGTAAAACACTAGAAATCTTTAATTTGGCTTGTCAGGTCATTTTAATATTATATCATAATTTTGCTTCTTGTGCAAATATTCATTTTGCTGAAACTTTAGAGGAATAAAGTTTAAAGTGAGGTATTAAAAATCACTATGGGTAATAATATGTGGAATCCAATCAATGCAACTAGGTAAGAATACATAGCTTTTTACTGTTAATTACCAAATGTTCCCATTTTTCAATCCAAAATAATGTCTGTGGTTTGATAGATCTTTACTTGTAATTGTAATTCTGTCTTAATAAAACACTGACTTTGTAATCCCTGTGTTGCAAAGGTACGTCCAAGCTTCAAAAATAGGATGGGAAAGATTAAAGGTTCTCTCCAACTCTGTGTAACCTGTGTAGCAGAAGAGCAGCTCACATTTCACAAGCAATAACCTGTGCATTTGCTAAAAAAAAAAAAAAAACAAAAAAAAACAACATGGGGAAATGCCTGAGGCAGAAGTTGAAACTGATTGGGCAAAGTAGAAGGACAAGAGCCCTTGAAATTAAACAAAAGCAAATTCATTCTGGTGACAGATGTTGATTACATCAAAGCCACGAAAGAACTTTTCTCTGTTTCTTTCTTTTTCCTTTTTTGCAACTAATACCTCCGTGTTTTCTGTACATTAAGGATATAACATATCTTAGTCAACATAACCCAACACGTAATAATTTTTAAATTTGGTAAAAGTATATTGTAACGAGGTCTTAACGACAAGCTTCTCCAAACAAGAGTGTATTCACATGGTCATGTCTGCATACCCGTGCTGGTCACGCCATCATCAGCCCCTTACTTCCAGGGGTTAACTGCTCTGGCAGCCAAATAAAATACAGAGAGCGCTGTGTAATTATGGAGACAGTCAAAGGGCAGACTCTATTTTGAAATCTATTTGCACAGACAAGGTCTTCCAATTTCGCTTACAGGAAACAAGCTGGTAAAGGGGGTCTCCTCCTCTCCAGATGCTTTCCACACTTTTTTCCCACATCAGGAAATCGTGGACATGGACACCATGCAGCACTGTTTCCTGGATTGCAGGACTATGTCATTACAAGGAGAAGAGCAAGTCCATGCTCGTGAGAAATATTTCCTCCTAATTGCCCGTATTAGGGGAAAGCAAAACCCACAAGGACTACTGAAAATGTGACTAGCAGCAATTTGTAAACAGGACGCAGCCACAGCTGTCATGATGGTACTGGAAAAGAGAAAACAGAAATGAAAGGGTAAAAACACTCTGGTTTTAATAGCATGATTGGGGAAATGAAATATTCATCAGGATAGATGTGACTTCAGTTACAACAGCAACACATTGGTGAAACCCTCGACAATGGCATGCTTATGACTGTACCCTGATAAACCGAAACACAGACCAGTATCTTGCAAACATTATATTCTAATTGGCATTGTTTTATTTAATTATTGAAATTAACTGGAAATTAACGACAGAAGTTGTTTAGTTAATAAAGGCATTAACAGAATTGCTGTTCTTCTTACTCTCATAGCAGCCAATAAAGCAAGGCAATGGCCAAATGCCGACCGACTCCAAGAGAGCAGAGTCAGCCTCTGTGCCGACACCACTGGGACTCCTCAATGACACTGAAAAAAGTCAAGTTTGGCCCTCAGGACCAGTTATGCTCCCTGCTAATTAAAATTTTGCCCTTACTTCAAAAAGAGCAGAACCGGGCAATTTATTTGCTGTATGCTAATACAAATGACTTTTTTAATTGGGTGTAAATTTATGAACTATATAGAAATACATTCTTGTTTGGCTTTACTTATTATGACTTAGTCTATACCAGCATACTAAAATGATTAATCAGTGCCTTCTGGTATAGCGCTGTTCTTTTAATTCATTATTCAGTCAAACTTAGGGCCAACAAAATAGCTGCTCTACAAGTTGGTAAACTGGGAAACCACAGAGAATTAGAACCTCTTCTATTTACAGGAAGGATGACAGCCTAAGGGTACTTCATCCCAATAATAACAACATTCAAGTAATGGTGCCCAGGTCATGACAAGCCATGACCCTCCCCATAGCTCCTTCAGGAAGCTGGCTCGGTGCCACCTTTTATCAGCAGCAACCAACAGTGCGACTTTAACAAACAAGAAGAAAAGGAAAAATTAATTTTATATCCTTAAAAACCCCTTCGACCAATTGAGCAGTTGTGTACATATATATACCAACAGAGTCACACCAAGACATTATAAGAAATAAATTCACTGACTGAGTAAAATTCTGGTATCATTAAACAGCACTTTCCCATTTTATTATAGGATTTAAAAAATACAGAGTACAACCTAACTATATCTGAATCATATTCATTCATATACCAAAGGAAATTAATTGTCTATTATAGAAAATGGGACTGGGCTGCACAGGCTTAACTTTGGGAACAGAGCATCGTAGTTCTCCAACAGAGCCTTCCATCCTAGTGTCATCTCTACTACATTTTCTCTCTCCGATAGAATAACACAAGTAGAAAATAAAGTGTTGCCTAAAGCAGTATCACAGCAAAATGAAAGAAGTCAGGTACAAAAGCTGGAGAAAGCAATATTAAGAGTTTCACACACAGTTAATATCAGGGGAATTTAGGCTCCAGATCACAGCATCTGGCAAGTTTCAACTTCTGTGACTAGCAGGAGAAACATTGCTCTTATGTTTCTGCATTCCTGTATTGAGTACATTAATTTATCATAAAGTGAATAAATCAGGAGAAGCATATCTGCTCAGGTTTGCATATTTAAATACATCTTTCAATCATCTTCTATCTATCTTTAGTTTTTTTAAAAGATCAGAGGAATTACTTTTGCTTGAAAGACTGGTCATTGTATTCATTATTTTGATTTTGTAGAGAAGTAACAACTGTTGGAACAAGTTACTCAGTTTAAAAAATAGCCGTTGTTTCAGATTAAAATAACAAGCTATTCAAACAGTCCTTACACACACGCACAATACCGAATCTTGTTGTTAATATGCACCCGCCCACAGTTTTAACATTCATTGAATCCTACTGGGATAAAATCTTTTCAGGTGCTCTGTGAAACAACTGTTTTTCAACTGGCGTGGTTATGTCTTATATACACGCCTGACACAGTATTAAATGTTAAACGTAAATCCTACTTTAACCTCTTAAATTTCCACCTGATATGGAAAAAATATGTCTGAATCACCACAAAAACGGTTTCCCACAGAAATCCTTTCAGTGGGTGAGCAAAGCTGCTGAAATAAGAGTAATCTTTGCATAGAACATTTTGGAGTGCTCCTGAACATCGTATCAGGATTTTCTGCATAGCTTGAGACACAGGAAGAGAATGGGCAGTCAGGAATCTTTTCCCCACACAAAATATAAGACCCATTGCAATAATTATTTTCAATACACCTGCAGCTGAATCTCTAAAGATACAAGATGATTCCTGAATTGTAAGCCAGTCTTATCAAAATTAAAAAAAAAAAAAAAAGCGTACACTGCTAACAATTTTGGATGAATACCTTAATAAAGTAAGATTACATTACTACTCATTTGGCAAAAATGACAGCTAGCAGTGTTTCTTGTCTTGTATTAAATGTTGTTAAGTACTTGCATTGTCCTGTTTTCACACGAAAACACAAGTTACATTAGGACAGTGAGTCTTTACTGAGAAAATATGTATGTGTCCTTCGCTAGAGCAAAGACTGTAAGGTTGGGGAATTACATCCTATAACCCGGACTTCAAAATGTATGAGCAGAGAGATGTAAGAGTTTACAGCTGTTTCTACTCAACTATTGTGGTGGTGGCAGAAACAAGCTCTTTTTTTTTTTTCTTCAAGAAGATGCTCTGCACAAGGAAGATGTTCCAATCAAGAGCTTGCTGCAGATAACTTGTAGCATCCTTATTAAAACATTTATTTTTAAACCTGTCAGTCATTAGTATGTGCTATTAATGCATAACTTGGAAGCTTATTCATAAAAATGTGACATTTGAGTCACTGAATGATAGGATTATGGATCAAATTTGGGAGAGTATGGTATAATGTTTGGGAACTGTTGTAATTTTTTTTTTTTAAATACCTCTCACTTATCTCCTTGCTTAACATTTACAAAGACCTCTTTCTTATCATGGAAGACCCTGTTTATCAAACAGTGATACAGGAAGAAGTTGTTTACATTTTCAGAAGTACCAACATACATCACTTATGACAAAAAAAACAAGCACTCCATAAGAAATTCTCAATCACTGTCAATCATATGCACTAAAATATACATAAACCAAAGCATGTGGTGTGAACTATATTAGATTCAAACTGAACATAGAATTACAACTATAACAAACAAAAAACAAATAATTACAAGTGACTCATAGGCCTATTTACACATCTCGACAAACTGCTGGAAAGGTAGGTAACCATAGAAACCTGACAGCCTAAATTCAGTACTTTAAAATTTGTATTTAGTTTAAAATGCTGAAAATGATGTTTCTATTTGACAAAATCCATATTTTTAAAGGCTTCAGTTTTTGTTTCGGTACTTAAATAAATGCTTAAAATTATTCATCTCTTGGTTACTTTTAGGTTTGATTTTATCCAAGTAAAGATTACAGTTTACTCTTTGTGATATAAAATATTAATACATTTTAATACTGGAAATTAATATTTCTATCATTTCTTTAACGATTGAAATTAAATAATGATAGAAAACAAACACTCCTGCACTTACTATTAAATGTTTTGCATATAGACTTTTCTAAGCTGCACACTAGCAAAAAAACCCCAGATTACTAAAATTAACTGTTAAAGCTGAAATGCTAATAGCCTTTTCAACTTATAGTTCTTTTTCACTGACAATTACAATTTGCATGGCTTAAAATTTAATACTATGATTAGTACTAATGTCCTATATTTTACTTCATAATCTAAATGAGTAAAATATTATTTTTGTAGTTCACTGGCTCTTATACTTAGGCTGTAATGTTCAGTGTGTATTTCATTATGCAGATGAGCAATGGATGTCGTCTAACATGATTTAAATGGGTCAACAGTATTTTCCTATTCACATTAATCATCCAGACAGCCACCAAAAAAAAAAAAAAAAAAAAAAAAAAGACCCTTGAAAACAAACCTAGGAAATCTCTTTTTATCACTGTCTCTTCCCACTAGTCAAACAACAGCAAACACATGCTACACGAGATGGGAGCCTTGCAAACCAGGGAGCCAAGGCTGGGTGCTGCTCCTCTCGCTGGTGCACAGCTCCTGCCGCAGCTGGGGCCGGCCGGGC